ATTTTAATTATGTTTGCCAAAATAAAACATTCATGATGTGAAATTAGTGGAACTTCCGGAAGATTTTACATACAAGTTCCTTGTGAAGATTGGTAAAAATGTGCAACTTGGTGCAACTATACAAATAGGAAACTTATAGAAGACTCATTAGATGCAGTTTTGATGGTGACTCGGTGGAAACTTTAAAATGAATTAAGTATTATATATGTATATAAACCAATTTAATTTTTTTAAATTTAAGTTATAACAATATATTACAAGTAAAAATAAAAACAAATATTTTATAATTTTGATTTTTATTGCAAACGTAAAACTTCCCTAAAAATACTCCACTTCCTATTAAAAATTAACACTAATAAGTGTAAGATACACACTATTTAGTGATATTTTGTCAATTAATAGAGTAAAATTAGAGCGAATTTTTAATAATTTACACTGATTAGATTAGAAATGTATCTAATTAGAGTCACGACAACATCTAGTTAGATTACATATAATACACTGTTATAGAGTAACGATTTTACACTATTTAGTAAACACCATCTTCTCACTATATAGTGTAAATTTTTAATCTATTCACCTACACTATATAGTGCAAAAAATAACTCTAAATAAATTGGACCGATCTGAACCATGTTTTAGAGATGATTTTTACTCTATATTTTTTCCTGTGTATGGATAATAGGTATATGACTTTGGCGTGTGTATTTGCATCTGATGTAAACTTGATAATTCTTCTAGACATGAACCTGAGGGATTATCAGCTCGGCATCCCCATATTTTCAATTTACTATTTAGATCTCCAATTATTATAAGAGGACCATAATTATTCAATAGTTGACTAATTTCTTCTTTTATTAATTTACGGTTGAGTTGCCTGTATGCACAAATTATTGTCACTGGTGTCATGTTTTTTGGATAAAGTTGGATAGCAACCGTCTCTAGCGTAGTGTTCACTAAGTCGTAAGGTTTATGTTTCAATGTGCGTTTAATTAGTATCGTTTCACCGCCTGAAGCTGCTTGAGAGTTGTGGGCAAATCTATAGATATTAAAACCAGGTATTCGGAACTCTTCTCCCAGAACTAGATGAGTTTCGGTGATACATGCTAAATCAATATTATAACGAGCCAAAAAAGCCGATACTAAATTCTTCTGCTTCTTCAGACCATTCGCATTATTTGAATTTGGGTTTTAGAGAGCAATAATTTTTAGTATGACCAAAACGTTGACAATTAAAGCGCTGTGGTATAATTTGAGATATTTTCCTCGACTCTACTATAATTAAAGCATTACATACTTCTTTGATATTAAAAATGTTTTTGGCTTTTTCGTTGGGAGTTAATTCAACCGCACATAATGAATTATTGAATTATTTTCCAAAGAGTTGTCATTAATATCATCACTGTTGTCTTCACTAGCAAGAACATGGAACCGATTTTGCGTTGAGAGATCTGGATTAAAAGAATATCGTTTATAAATATCATCTTCTAGAGGTGATAACTGATCGGATCCTCGTTTTTCTCTCATACTTGATTCGGTCGAAATTAAATATATTTTCTCTCGATGATTTATTATTTTTGTTAGATTAATATATGAAATTATAAACACGGTTGATTTCGTGAAACGAAACTGATTATGAGACTCGCAAGACTTGTTTAGAACACGTGTACTCACTTTGACCATCCGCATTCGACCATTTTTACTCTAATATTTGTAATTAAAATCATGTCATGACTTACAGAAACACCTGTATATAATTTGCAATTTTTATTATAATTAAAAATTGCCCTTGTTGTGGGCAATTTTTAATTATATCATTAGATTTCTCCAATAAAATCTGAAGGAAAATTCTGTGATTTTCAGGATCAAAGTTTTTATTGTTTGAAAACAAATCATGGATTCCACTTTCAACTGTGGTGTTAATGAAGAATGTCACAAACACGCCACAGTTTCGACTGTTTGGGATATTTACAGTTTGGTTATTATCCAACATCAACGTCAATTTGATTTTCACAAGTGTTGAAATTGTTGTAAAGTAAAAAAAACTTTTTCATCATTTTAAAAATTTTGGATTGGGCATTCGTGTGTCCTGGATCAAGAAAATATATTAATTGATAAGGTATACTTAGAACAGTTATAGTCCAATGCGAAAAATCCATATTGTAAGGAATTAATATGTACCTGTACTTATTGAAGCATTCTGAATAAATTTGTAGCTTCAGAAAGGTACTTTGTGAAAACATAAACATTGTTGAGACTGTGTCAACATAATAGATATCAGCAAAATTCATCAATACAGGAATCTGATAATCATCTATCAGCGTGTCTTTTACAAATAATTTTCAAAAATATTTTTTGAGAGCAATCTAAAATAATTTTCACTCATAAGCTGTACTTTTCATAAGGCAAACAAGAACTAAAAAATATATAAACTAAGAAGAAATAAAAACAAGTTAATAACTTTTTAAGTTTATTTTGAATGTACGAATTCATGTTGCGATACTAGTTTCGGTTTATAAGGCCATCATCAGCCGAATCTATGATTAAAAAAGGAATTCTAATGAAATCTAATAGAAACCTAAAAAAGAAAACAAAATAATTCATCATGGGCAAACTGTTGTGTGATGAAAAACGAAAACACGTCAAAAATCTTAATCATCAATATGAAAAACTGGCGAATATTCATAGAGACCTCAGGGAGCTACTCCATCATCTTGAACTAGAGGAACTTATTCAAAATTGCATAACACAGACCGAAATAACAAAACGAGATGACCAAAGAAAGAAAGAAAATAAACTTAAAAATTTACGCAAAAACAAAAAGATCAATAACAAAGGACATACAGATAAACATCAAACCATTGCGCAATACTGTAATCTTATTGACATTAAATTCACCAGACAGGAAGATGTCTTTGACATCTCACATCAATAGAATTTGACGTTATTATAAGAAACCATCCAGAAAGGTCTGAAAATGTTTAACCGCGGAATACATAGCTAAGAGTTCTCTGTCAAAGGTGGAATACTTCATTTGGCTGTTAGACATTCTTTTGGAAAAGAAGGCTACTGGTGAAGTAGTTCTATTGTTGGTTTGGGAAAGAACAGCTCTTATTCCTGTTTCTGAAGCATCAGTATATAAAGAAAACGATCCTGTTGGAGAAGGATGTGAGAGTAGGAGTGTTCGTTGGTTGTGAAGTTGTTGAATTGTGTGAATAGAATGAGTTGTTGTAATTTAAGTGTGTGAGTTGGTATATGCTTGGCGTGGAAGTGACTGATTCCCAGATCCTATCCGCCATATTCAATAGATCTGTCACCTCTTCTTTTCCAGA